GTGCACTTGCATGGGTTTGCGCATGTAGCAGTGTATACATGCTTACAGTCACATACACCATGCAGCTGTGTGAAATACACCTTGAACTATAGGTTGTATGGCCTAAGGTGCCCATGTGCAAGATACATAAAACATATCCACACTGACATCTGTAGCTGCAGGCAATGTTGAGTAGTTCATAAAACAAGCAGTTGTTCAATTCCAGGTTTAGCACTCAGCTCTCCCCTCTTCCTGTGCACCTGCCCTGTGTTTACCTTAGACCCCCTTCACACAGGCGATCCAATCAGGTCTGTCTGTCAATTTTTCAGGTGGACCTGATCAGATAGTCTGTATATTCCTATGGACCGACGGGTGTACATGGACTTGTGTCCATGTACACCCGCCTACCTCCTCAGTGTCTGCTCTGCATAAATGGACAGATACGGACCTGTCATTCGCCCATTCTGCTCTGCTCAGCAGAGGATCAGCAAACAGAGCCCCTGCTGAACAAAGTGGATCTGCCCCCTGTAAAGGGGGCCTTAGAGATTAGAAGAAAGGAAATTTTCCAAGTCACTGCTGCCGGGAGCTTTTGATTATAAAGCTTTAGGATGAATTTATCCGCAGTGCCTGCAGCTACAGAGGTCAGTAAGGCATTATTTTAAATTTTATTTACTGCTTGTTAATGATGATAATTGAACATTTCTAACCTGATAACTGTTCTATGTTAAGGCATGCTACAATGACATACAGTAAGAATGGCTGGTAGAACATTTAGCATGCTTTGAAGTGAACCTGTGGCCATGTTATGCATTCAAGCATTACACTCTTTAAAAGCAATATATGAGTTTTCACATTTATATAGTAGGAAAGATTCTGCCTTTAATTTATATCTGTATCCCCATTGGAGATGTCCCTCTCTGTCCTGACGACCACTGTTCCCAGCAAAAAAAGTGATGGAAATCCAAAACTTGGGAGGAGATGTTTCTGTGGTGACACCCCTTCTAGAGAAAACTTTGTAAAGGGGGATTCCATTTCACTTTGGAGACATTTATAAACTTTTTTGAACTACTATATCTTACATATCATAAATATCTCACTCTGTCTTTGTCTGTGAATCCTCGCACATTGGCATTGAGAGGCAACATTGTGAACCAACCAGACTTTACTATGTTGCTCACTCCTGTAAATCATCTAACAAATGGAGCTTGCTGATCGAAAGACCAAAAGGCATAGACATCACATCATTGGTGAGTTGCTCTTCATATCCACTCACAGTCTTCACCAAGCTGTATTGCTTTAATTACAGTTGAAACAAACAAGTACTCGGGATCTTGTACAGTTGCAAGAAAAAGTATGTGAACCCCTTGGGATTACGTGGAGTTTTGCATGAATTGGGCATAAAATGTGCTCTGAACGTCATCTAAGTCACAACAATAGAAGAACACAGTCTGCTGAACATAATACTACACAAACATTAGATGTTGCCATGGTTTAATTGCACATAACATGTAAACATTCACAGTGCAGGGAGAAAAAGTATGTGAGGCCCTAGCTTAATGACTTCTCCCAGAGCTAATTGGAGCCAGGAGTGAGCCAACCTTGACTCCAATCAGTGTGATGATATTGGATGTGTTGCTGACAGCTGTCCTGCCCTTAAAAAACACACACCTGTTTTGGGTTTACTGGTTTCAAGAAGCACTGTCTGATGTGAACCATGCCTCGCAGAAAAGAGCTCTCAGAAGACCTACGATCAAGAATTGTTGACTTGCATGAAGCTGGAAAGGGTTACAAAAGTATCTCCAAAAGCCTTGATGTTCATGTGTCCACGGTAAGACAGACTGTCTACAAATGGAGAAAGTTTTTAGCACTGTTGCTACTCTCCCTAGGCATGGTCATCCTGTAAAAATGACTGCAAGAGCACAGCGCAGAATGCTGCATGAGGTAAAGAAGAATCCCAGAGTGTCAGCTAAAGACCTACAGAAATCTCTGGCACATGCTAACATTTTTGTTGACACATCTACAATAAGGAAAACATTAAACAAGAATGGAGTACATGGGAGGACACCACGGAGGAAGCCTTGCTGTCCAAAAAGAATATTGCAGCACGTTTGAAGTTTGCAAAAGAGCACCTGGATGTTCCGCAGCACTACTGGCAAAATATACTGTGGACAGATGAAACCAAGATTGAGTTGTTTGGGAAGAACACACAACACTATGTGTGGAGAAAAAAAAGGCACAGCACACCAACATCAAAACCTCATCCCCACTGTAAAACATGGCGGAGGGAGCATCATGGTTTGGGGCTGCTTTGCTGCCTCAGGGCCTGGACAGATTGTTGTCATTGATGGGAAAATGAATTCCAGAGTTTATCAAGACATTTTGCAGGAAAACGTACGACCATCTGTCCGCCAACTGAAGCTCTGCAGAGGATGGGTGATGCAACAGGACAATGACCCAAAGCGTACAAGTAATTAAACCAAACAATGGCTGCAACAGCACAGAATACGCCTTCTGGAGTGGCCCAGTCAGAGTCCTGACCTCAACCCGATTGAAATGCTGTCGCATGACCTTAAGAGAGCGATTCACACCAGACATCCCAAGAATATTGCTACACTGAAACGGTTTTGTGAAGAGGAGTGGTCCAAAATTACTCCAGATCGTTGTGCAGGTCTGTTCTGCAACTACAGGAAACGTTTGGTTGAGGTTATTGCTGCCAAAGGAGGGTCAACCAGTTATTAAGTCCAAAGGTTCACATACTTTTTTCCTCCCTGCATTGTGAATGTTTACATGTTATGTGCAATTAAACCATGGCAACATCTAATGTTTGTGTGGTATTTTGTTCAGCAACTGTGTTCTTCTATTGTTGTGACTTAGATGACGTTCAGAGCACACTTTATGCCCAATTCATGCAAAACTCCACGTAATCCCAAGGGGTTCACATACTTTTTCTTGCAACTGTATAGTGTCAAGCAGAGGTGTTTGGATCAGAAAACTGGACAGAATAATAATTTTTGGGAGGTAAGAGAGCGAATATATTTTTTATTTATGCCTATACGTACATTCAGTCAGTCAACAGAAAGCAGATTCAAACAAGCTTGGGACAAACATACCAAAAAACAATAAAAAACCCAAAATTCAAAAATATGTATAAAAATGGAGAACAAAATTACAAGAGTGTCTACAAACCATCAAACTATGCAGAAATAAAAGCTATGCATCCAATCAGATGTTTAAAAAAAAAATTAACGGGTAAGTAAAACACCAGTCTTTAAAGTGTTAATTAAACCACAACAGTAAAATCAGTCTGTATATGTAGTAAAGCATGCTGGTTATACTTACTGTGGAACCTAAGGGGTCAATCCTCTGCACTGTGTAAAAATGCTATGTGATCCCGACTTTTCTATCATCCCCTTCTTCCAGTGTCCACCTCTTATTTCCTGATAAAACATATCATGTGGAGACACTCTGCACATGCTCAGTTTAGTGTGTATTACTAAAAACGATAAGAACTTAGCGAGTGCTTACAACAGCAGCTATTGCACTAAAAAGGAACCACAAACCTTCTCAATGAACAATCAGAATAAAAAAGTGCAGCACTAAAATCAATGAATATACTGATAAAAAATGTTAAAACATCATATCATAAGATACCTCTATAGGTACGTCAATATCAGGTGACAACTTAATGACATCTGTTCTCTGAAGCCTTTCTTGATATTGTAAATGTGCTTGCAAAACCTGTCTGGCAATCTTCTGGTTGTCCGGCCGATGTACTGCTTCCGGCATGGACACTCCAGAAGATATACGGCATATCGGCTGTTACAAGTAATGAACGTTGAGATATCAAAAGCTTTCCCTGTTGTAGATGATGTGAATGTCTCTATCTTCCTTTTAGACATCTTACTATGTTGGCAACTCTGACATCTTTTGCATGGGTAAAAAGCCCTTCAGATTAGCAAAAAGGCTAGGTTTGGGAGGAGGATCAATCGCATTTGGCGAGATTCTATTCCTGAGAGTTTGGGCCTACCTAAAGACAATCTCGGGTCTATTCGGTAAGGCCTTAGAGAAGATCGGGTCGGCTTTGACAACATCCCAGTTTTTTCTAATGATCTTGCTAATAACCTTATGTTGTATGGAGAAAGAGGTAATGAAGGGACAGAATCTATTATCCCTCTGTATTGGTAGGCCAGATAGCATCTCGTCACGATTTATTTTAGCTACATTATTTATCTCGAGATCCAGAACACTCTCTTCATACCCTTTTTCGACAAACCTTTGTCTTAGGATTGCAGCTTTGGTATGGTATGTATCAATGTCAGTACAGTTGCGTCTCACCCTCATGAACTGGCTTTTGGGGATGTTTGACAGCCATGACGGGTAGTGGCAACTGTCAATCGGAATGTAGCTATTCCTGTTGTGCAGTACCCTCCTTTATTGAGTATAGTTATATCCAAAAAATTGATCTTATGTGATCCAGATCCACAGAGGAGGTGATCTGTACCAGGCTGTACCATAAAGGAGACCTCCGGTTGAATCACTTGATCAATGCACATTAAGATTGCGCTTCTGGTAAGTGTGCAATCTTACCATTTGTTGCATATTACTACTGGTTCACACTGGGACATAGAAGTTTTCCATCTGAGATTGTCTATTGGGAACTATCACCGTCACCTGATATATTATTTCTAGAATTTTAACCACCTTGGCACCTTATTTTGGATATCTATTTGTTTGCACTTTAACTGGACGGTTATATGATATATTTTAGAGTCACTCCAAGATTTATCACCTGATATTGACGTACCTATAGAGATATCTTATGATATGATGTTTTAACATTTTTTATCAGTATATTCATTGATTTTAGCGCTGCACTTTTTTATTCTGAGTGTGTATTACTAGAAACTTTTTTTCTTGGAAGAGTGCATGTGATCAGCACAGGGCCCATCAGCACTCTCTGGACAGAGGTCAGGGGTCCTACATCTTCTAGAGCAAAATTAAAACTCCTCCTACAAGCTTTAACCTCCCTGGAGGTATTCCCGAGTGTAGCTCGGGGTAAAGTTTCAGCACCACAAGCGGTAACCCCGAGCTACACTTGGGAATACACTGCAGCGCTGCTCCGGGATCTCTTCTTCACTTACCTTGTCCTGCGCTCCCACGATGGCCCTCCTGCAGTGTCCCCGGCAATGTCCTCCGGCCGATGCCGGGATCCGTCTTCTGGGTTCCGTTCCCTGCGATGTCAGGACGTACGCGGACGGAACAGCGGGAAATTTAAAAATGTGAAAAAGTGACATTCACTAAATTCACTAAAATCACATAGTAAAACATTACTGTATCAAACCATTTCACATACATTTTGTCCCGAGTGCTTTGTCCGGTGCCCTGCCTGCATTTTTACCGTTCTTTCTGCCTGGAAACTGAGGAACGTCCATGGCGTCCAAAAAGCATCCCTTTAGGTTAAAAGCGGTTTTAGACCAGCTAGAGAACAGTGATAGCAAATCAGAACCGCTTGCAGAATTGAGTGAAATGATTCGTGAGGAAATTCGTCATCAGGCACTGAAAACGATTTTGCGACTTTGCTCAGCGATGTGCGAACTTGGCGCTATATTTCAAATTTCAGTGGTTTTTTTTTGATTATATTTTTGAATTAAATGTATTATTATATTATTTTTATGATTATTTATTAAATTATAATTTATGATTTTGTGTTTCAAATTTTAACATACCTGGGATGTTTACTAGACTCTTGTTCGGACAGATTTCAGTGAGTTATTCCTAAAAATTACAGGCCTACAATAAAAAAAAATACATATTTCCATGCAAAAAAATGTACTGCTTTGAGCACAGAAATACTGACATAATCAGACCGCTAGGGAGGTTAACCAGTACTCAGCTGAACACTGATAGAAATCACGAGGCTGCCCTAACAGCTGATGAGAAAAAGGTATTTAGCCGTTTATATTTACTAAAATAATTGCATTTCCAGGGTCCTGGGTTTAGGAACACTTTAAAAGTATTTGTGTTTTTTTAAAATATGATACTCCAACCACAAATACAATTAAAATTAACAACACATTTTTTTATTTCTTAACCACCGGAAAACACATTCTGGTGCCTATTAGATGAAATATACTGTAAGTCTTAAAAAAAAATTGTATTAATTTGTGGCATTCTGGTTATTTTGAACTATCTCCATAAGTATGATTACTCCCTAAGGCTAGGTTCACACCTATGCAGAACTAAACTGATAGGAATCATGTTAAATGGACTGTACTGCTTTTCTGCATAACGCAAAATGCACCGCAAAGCGATTAAGTGTGAACCTAGCCTAAGCCCGGCTTATTAAAGCTATGGGAGCTGATACATTAAAACTGGAGAAAAGAAAAGTCTACGAAGATTCTCATTTATTCAGGTCATGGTATAGCTAGAGTAGTTATTCACATTCTGCTGGACTTGTTCTATAATGTTTGCTTCGCTCTTTAAAACTGAAAAAGTGGCTTGGATAAGCTACGAAATGTCTTCAACAGTGCAGTCCAGTTGAAAGTGACTAACTACTACTAACTGGAGAAAAGAAACCGAGGACAAAAATGACTTTGTTGCCCATGGCAAACAAACAGATTCCTTTTTTCGTGTTTCCATACAATGAAAAGTGAAACTTGATTGCTTGCTGTTGGTAAGAATGCTAATTGTATTATATTGTTCTGTCCATTTTAATTCATGAATACCATAGAATACAAATTTTGCACTGATGAGAGTTAACAGCAACACACAATTTGGATAAACGACTGCCATGTTTTTTACTGTATTGAGGTTTTAAACCTGTGATTCTGAATACACAGTCGGCCACTGGAGAATGGGCGAATGACTGGCAAGATGTGTGATGGAAGTAATGACTGGGTGTTGGGATTTTGGGAGTTATTACTTTTGTCACATGCACTCAATACCCAATACAAACTGGTGACAAAAATGTATTAATTCCTTAAGTGCTAGCCCAGGCCTTTTAAAAGTATGGTTAAAGTGGTTCTAAAAGTTTGAAGGTTTGCATGAAAGTAAAAAAAAAAAAAAAAAAAAAAAAAACCTTTCGTGTGCACGAGATCCAGCAGCAGCATTTCGCTTTTCTCTCTCCCTCCTCATTGGCTCAGAGACAGCAGCGGGAGTCATTGGCTCCTACTGTTGGCAATCACAGCCAGTGAGCAGGGATCAGGGATGAGCCGCACTCTGTTTGTCAATGGACACACAGAGCTGGATTGGGAACGAGCATGCATGAGTGCCCCCATAACAAGCGACTTGCTATACCTTTATTACCTCTAAAAAAAATGTACCTTTAATTTCACTTTAAGCCCAATTTATTTTTTTTTCATTTTAGGCAGCACAGGGAAGGGTTAAAATCCGTATCTTTTTTTTTTGGCCCTCTGTGTCCCATTTGGAAGATTTCCTTTCACTTTCTGTCCCATCAACATGTTGGGAAGTGAGAGCACGTTTCTCTAAAGTGAGGTTATTCCTCTCCTCACCGCAATAAATGCCCCCATTAGAGGAATTCTACTCTATTCCTAATCCGGTGCCAATTATCAAAAGGACAATTAGAAGGTAAATCTCCCCATTGGGGACAGCAGTAAAATTTGACAGGTTTTGTTTGTTGAAGGCGTATCAAAAAAGTAATAAAATAAATCACTTTACGGTGCAGGAAAATACAGGAATTTAGCTGATCTAGCTACCAATGCAGCCAAGTTCACAGAACGAAAATCTGACCAATTCCGGAGGGAGGCTGTATCTGTGAAGCAATTGAATGTGTATGTTCATGTCAGACTGCTATAGACCTTCAATTATCTGGTTTGTATGGCTAAATGTGCCATTGTTTCTAGTAGAAGCTCGGGTTGTTTAATGGACATTGTTGTTCTGACAGTAACCTTATAGATATTGACGGTGTTGGCAGGCAAGCAGGATGCCGCATGGTGCCTGTGCTCTATAAGTGACCTTCAACATTTTTCTTTTTTTTTTTTTAATTCAGAAATAGTCTTTGTAGCAAGATTCCACGGATGATACATCAGGAAAAGAACACAATAGACAGTCTGTAGCAATATTCGTACATTTCTTTTTCCTGTCAGGGAAGGAAAAATCTGATTTCTGGAGATCATACACAGATAAGTATTGTATGCAGGTTCAGGAGGGGGTCATTAATTGTCCGAGGAGATTAAAAAAAAGAACAAAAAGTTACAAATGTTACGGTACTGACAAAAAAACATAATGGCTACCAAGATTTTTATGGAGGGGTTTTGACTTTTGCTCAACCCAACACCGTTCAGCACTGAAATTGCAGTTTTTAAAGCAAATGTGTGGGATGACCGAGCTTTGAAGGGCATCTTGTGAACAATAAAGAGTCTTTGGTTAATCCATGGATTTGTATGCAAATACAATAATCTTTTTCAAACGGACAAAAGGCCTCTTGGTAAATGCCAATGTTACATGACTCGTTATCCATGCTTGGTGCTGGCAAAATTGTAAATTAATTAAAGAGGGCACATTACAGCAATCCCAACAAAACAGACTGTACAACAATGTAACTCAGGAGGTGAGGAAGGCACATGTGGGAGAGTGACATTATTGCAGCTCTTTCAATGGATTTTGCGTTTTGTGCGCTAGTGAAGTCACTGGCTGCTATAATGGTGCATGCTTAGGAGATATTTAATGTACCTACAGCTAAGCCTTATTATAGGCTTACCTGTACTACAAGATAAAAATCAGAATTTACAATCTCTTTAAACCTGAAGCCCAAGGGCCACATTTGGTGACTATCATGTAGCTTTTGGGCCCCAGGAACCAGAAGTCAGTGTTTTCCCCTGTATATAAAGAGACAAAAAGAGGGCGCACAGACCTAGTGCATTTCCTTTAAAGAAGAGATTTATTGATAAAGAGTAAAATACTCACAAGAGAAATAAAATCAAACGGAAAGCATGTCACAAGGAATGCAATGTGGTCCAAAAAACCCCTGAAGGTAGTCTGGTGGGGGACTGTAGACCTCTGGATAGCTGGTGGTTGATATGTATAGAGGTTGTACCTCTTCCTCAGAGTCAGTGTTTTCCCCGCCTATGTACACTTTCAGGGCCAACAAAAAAAAATATTCATTAGACCCATTTTTCTAGTAAACATGGTCATTTTTATTTTTTATTCCTTCACAAGTTTTTGGTACTACCCATTTTCTTTTCTACGTATGTCTTATGTCTGAGAAGGACATATTTTGGGCCACTATCTTTTAGGAAGGTTGTATGTAGCACAAATGTGGGATTCTTAAAGTAACCGTCATTGTAGTGATTTCTATCAGTCTTATGTAACATGTCTTACAGTCTCCTGCAGCAGGTTTCCACTCTTTAACCACTCCCGTTGCATGTCTTCATATTTGTGACCATCTACTCTGTGGTTTGTCTGTGGTTTTTTTTTTTTTTCTTCATACCTAGAGAGTAGAAATGCTGTCATAAGCAAAGACAAGAACTAAGCAGACCACTCTTAAGTCCACCAGCGGCAAAGCTTACTGCAAAATAGGTGGCCATCAAATTCACGCACTCCGGCCATTGGACAAACGAGAAGCCTCACCATTACAGGCCCAGCACCGTGGTTCTTTGAAAAATACAGCGCTACCAGAAATCCACTGAGCTGCACATACAAAAGCTGCTCTTCCAGAGACTCGTCGTGGAGATCGCCTAACACTTCAAGACCGACTTGCACCTGTATACCTTCGCCAGAGCCGGAGGCCTCCGCGGTTTATCTTGTAGGGCTCTTTGAGGGCCAGATCACACTACAAAAATGCACTCCGGATGGATTCTGGATACGTTTTTGCTTACAGTTCACACTACATGCAGTTTCAGTGCAATTTTGATGCAGTTGGCTATGTTCCAGTATGGTTCTGTGCAGAAAAAATGCAGCATGTTCTACTTTTTTTTCTGCACCAGAAACTGACTGGAACTGACTGCACTAGTGTGAACCAAGACCATTGGAATACATGAAAAACACTGTGCATGCATTTTTGATGCAGAAAAAAAAAAGTGCACTGAACTGCATCTAGTGTGAACTAGCACTGAGGACACCACCTTCTGTGCCTTACTCGCCAACAGGGTCAACATCATGCCCGAAGATTTACAGCTGGCATGCAGGATTCGCAGAGAACAGGCATAGAACAACATCACTCTGCGGTATGTCTGTGGTTTTTGTCAGCTTTCTGTAACAATATGTGGACATTTGCATTGCAGTAACCTGTGTTAAAGTGCTCATGTTACTCCAACACAAGTTAATGCATCCTATGGGCTTTGGTGTGGTGCAGTGCCATTCATTGTTAATGAACGTTGTATTATTACAGATCATCAAAAATACTTTTTGGCATTCCCAAAGAATGTCATGACCTTGGTTTATGTTTGTCCAGACCCAGGCACAAGTATACCTAGATGAAACCACAAATACTTTCCTGGGCCCACCTCTTCATTGTTGCTAGCCTGTTGGAGAGCAAACCCCTCTAATATCCCTACCACTCTCCTATCCATAATGCCATAATCATGAACCCGCAACTTCTTTTACTTTCTCCATCTTCCTCCTTATGCTCCCCTTTCCCCCTATCTGAACACCCTTTCACTCCATCCATTAACTATACTGGTCGCATTTTATCCACCTTGTTACTATATTCCTCCAAAATAGTTCCCCTCTGGGCTTTCAGAAACCATCAAGGTTACTGACCCCCACTTACAGGAGCTAATGTAATGAAGCACATAATAAGATATGCCTACTTTCTCCTATCTCATTGTCATCCATTTTTATTCCCTACATTGTCCACAATCTGTTTATGAACTATGTATTGTACAAACAAACATGCCTGTTGTTTATCTTGCATATATTTGTATTGTCTATATCCAATATTGATGTAATAACCTTCAATAAAAGATTATTTATATATTATTATAATACAGGATTTATATAGCGCCAACAGTTTGCTCAGCGCTGTACAATATAGCGGGAGACAATACAGCAACAATACAGTTTAATACAAGAGGGTTAGGAAGGCCCTGCTCCATGGAGCTTACAATCTAAGAGGTAGGGGCTAGTGGTATAAAAGGTAATAACTGTGGGGGATGGACTAGTAGGAGGAAGAGAAGATTCCATTAGCTGAAGGCAGGATAGGCTTCCCTGAAGAGATAGGTTTTCAGATATCGCCTAAAAGTGAAAAGAGTAGGCGATAGTCTGAAAAATTGAGGTAGAGAGTTCCAGAGGATAGGAGAGGCTCTGGAGACGTCCTGGAGACAAGCATGGGAGGAGGAGACAAGGGAGCTAGAGAGTAGGAGGACGTGCAAGGAGCGGAGAGGGACGGTTTGGGTGATATTTGGAGACAAGATTGGTGATGTAATTTGGAGCAGAGTTATAAATGACTTTATATGTTATTGTTAATGTTCTGAATGTTATCTGTTGGGCAATGGGAAGCCAGTGGAGGGATTGGCAGAGAGGGATAGCAGATATGGAACAGTTAGTAAGGTGGATGAGTCTAGCAGCAGCATTCATGACAGACTGAAGAGGGGATAGCCTGCGATGAGGTCGGCCAATGAGGAGGGAGTTACAATAGTCAAGGCAAGATATAACAAGGGAGCGATTAAGTTGCTTAGCAGTTTCAAAGGTTAGGAACGGGCGTATCTTGGAGATGTTGCGGAGGTGAAGTCTACAAGATTTGGACAGTGACTGGATTTGGGGGTGAAAGGACAGATGGGAGTCTAGGATTACACCTAGTAATCACAAACACAAACACTGAAACGGTTGTTAAATTGGGAACAGTGGCTGTGTCTATATAGCTGCAGTGTCTCAATAGACACGAACAGGACTACCTGCATCAGGATGCACAGAACCTATGTGCATCCTGTGTGAGCAGAGAACTGTAAGGACGCCTGTGTGATTGAGGCCAGTTGATTTGTGCAGGTACACAGGTAAGAGAGTCAAAATGGCTAAATAGCAAACATCTGGTAAAATCGGACCCAATTGTCAGCCCAAGAATGCCACAGAGGTCAGAAGTAGCTCACAGATAAGGTCATTTCTTAATTCACCCAGCTCTGGCTATCATCATCTAACATCTATGGGTACCTTCAACGCCTGAGGTCTAGTTTACATCTGATATTGCTTAGATATTAGAGGTAGTAGACGATAGAGGACAGTCTGTTAAGGTGGTTCTAAAGGCTCAAGGTTGTTTACCTTCATGCATTCTATGCATAAAGGGAAAACACCTTCTGTGTGTAGCAGCCCCCCCCCCCCCACAACATTTAACTGAGCCCTCTCTCGATCCAGCAATGCCCAGGAGAGCCTCAATTCACTGGGGACACTCCCTCTTGATTGGCTGAGCCAGCAGCCATTGGCTCCCGCAGCTGTCAGTCATAGCCAGTGAGCCAATCAGGAGTGGAAGGGGGTGGGGCCAATCAGGAGCACGCCTGCTTAGTTGCCCCCATAGCAAGCTGCTTGATGGGGGGCACTCGGACAGAGGGAGGGTCCAGTAGCACCAAAAAAAGCTCTGAGCAGGTAAATATGACATATTTGTTGTTTTAAAAGAAAAGAAAAATAAGCCTTTATTATCATTTTAAGTTTTGCATCCAACCCACACCTGCTTCTGTGAATGGAAGCCACAACTGCTCCTTCGCCTACTGGGGGATTTCAGGGGCTGAACTGAAAACATCTCAAGGCAACGGGTACATATTAATGTATACTTGCAGCACTTTCTATTTTTCCCACTACTGTTCTGTATGCTATTTGCTGATCCACTGTTTACACTGCGGTATACGTTATACACTCCACAATGATCTTCTTTATTCTCTGTGTGCATTATATACTCTCAATGATCGCCTGTATTTACTGTGCTGTATGTTATACACTCGGCAATAATGCACTGTATACACTGTGATGTACATTATACACTCCACAATGATCCTCTGTATTCACTGTGCTGTAGGTTATACACTCTACAGTGAGGCAATGTATACATTGTGATGTACATTATACACTCCACAATGATCCGCTGTATTCACTGTGCTGTAGGTTATACACTCTACAGTGAGGCAATGTATACATTGTGATGTACATTATACACTCCACAATGATGCACTGTATACAATGTGATGTACATTATATACAGTACTTCACAGTTACGCACTGTATATACTGTGATGTGAAAAAGTATTTGCCCCCTTCCTGCTTTTTTTTTTTGCATATTTGTCACACTTAAATGATTCAGTTCATCAAACAAATGTTAACATTACACAAAGATAACCCAAGTAAATACAAAATGCAATGTAAACCTTATAATTCAACCTGTCTGAATTCTTCCAAAACCACCATCCAGATTAAATCATTGCGCCTATGTATAAAAAATGTTAATATTAAATAGGTGCTGCTATTATATATCCACTAAATCAATTTCAACACTTTGTGATAAATAAATAAATAAAAAACACAAAACCCTTAGGGGTCGCGCTATTATTTGTGTTTTTTATTTATTTATCACAAAGTGTTGAAATACAAAATGCAATTTTTAAATGCTGATTTAATTTATTAAGGAAAAAAAGCTGCCAAAAGCTGTCCCTACCTGCCTGACCCTTCATTTTGTATTTGCTTGGGTTATCTTTTTGTAATATTAAAATTTGTTTGATGATCTGAATCATTTAAGTGTGATAAATATTCAAAAAAAAAAAAAAATTGGGAAGGGGGCAAGTACTTTTTCACAGCACTGTACACTCCGCCATAATGCACTGTACACATTATCATGTATGTTATACACTTCATAGCCATGCACTGTATACACTGTGATGTAAACTATTTACTCTACTTAGATTGTAAGCTCCCAGAATCAGGCCCTCCTAACCCTCTTGTATTGAACTGCATTGTCACCCGTTATATTGTAAAGCGCTGAGCAAACTGTTCAGTTATAAATATAAATCCTGTATAATAATAATACAATGATGCACTATATACACTGTGATGTACACTATATACTCTAGAATGATGCACTGTATACACTGTGATGGACTTTATATGCTCCACAATGGTGCAAAGTATTTACAGTGATGTACAACATACTTCACAATGATACACTGTATAAACTGTGTTGTACAATATACACTCTGTAATCATCCACTATGTACACTGTGTTATACATAGTACGTATACCATGCCAATATCTGTTCTTGCTCTCCTGAACCAGCCAGCACTGGATTGCAGCTATCCTCTTGAGCTCATAATAGTGGCATTTTTGTTAGTATTTTATATTTCTTTATCTTGATGCTGAACATTTATCAGCTCTACTGTCCATGTCTCCATCACTCTGACTTGTAGAAATCAAAATGTTTATAAGACTCCTATAATAGTTTTTGCTAGTAAACAGTAGTAAACCTGAAATAGAAACCACTTGTGCCTTGAAAGAATGAACTTTCCGCAGACTCATATTTCTTCCTGCAGAAGGAATGAGGGTGATTTATCAAACCCACTTGTACAATGTGCTACACAGAAACACTTGATAAATTAATGATGCTTACATGGAGCCTGTGGGGCCGGTTTACAAAGATTGGAACAAAGGAAATCTAAGGCCATTACCTGTAGCAACCAATCTGATTTGGCTTTTTGTTTTTGTAAAAGAACAACATGAATCACGAAAGGGGAACTTCACAGTCAAGTGAACCTGTCTTTAAAACTTCAGAAGGATCTTTATGAAAAGCTGGAGGAAACAGGAACAAAACCAGAGCTGCTGATCATAGACAGCAATAGGGTTTTGGGGCCCATTTACAGGGTGTAAGTGTTAAAGGTAGTTCTTTCATTTTGGCGTGGGATTTCAACATGCATCAATGTACAAAAAAATACACCTGTACT